GGAGCCAATCAGTTTGTGTGCTGACTAGAAGCGTGCTGACAGGAGGAGAAAGCAGAGTGACACAGAGAGGAGCTCTCAACCTGGGCTCAGAAGAAGTGGGTTGAATGATACTGGCCATTAGAGGACATCTAGTGGCACAAAAAATACTGTGGTGAATTGATGTGGCTTGAAGGTAAATATTGCAACAAAAGCTGATTTTGTTATTCTATCTTTTACTTGGATATACATTTTTATCTTGTTTTTTTTGGCTGGGGTTGGGAAACATATTGAATAAGACAGTTCGTGTAACAAATTACACAAACTGTCTTGTTCAATAATATGTTTACGAACACTTTTCAAAAGCAGTTTTGTTGTTCTCAAGTTTTAATGACAGGAAATATCCATAGCCTTTTATACTGATGCTTCATATTTATATTGCTTGGCACATGTTAGGTCATTTAAAAATCATCATAATCCATGCTCTAATCTTCTTATAGTCGTATTCAATCAATCTTCACAATCTCAATGCCAATTAGCAAACTAAACATGAGTTTGTAGTCCATCATTGGAGTATTCTTGGAGGGGTGACTACTTTACATCACACACAGGGACCATGAGGAACAAAATTAGCCACCCTCCAGAAGGAAGGACAGTGTCAGTATGAATTCAGAGATGATTTGACGTCTGAGTGATACACACATAAGATACATTTTGGTTAATAGTTAAGGTACTTGAATGCATTTTTAAGATTTAATTCCTTAGTTAGGTGTCACTTTCAATGTCAGGACATTTGTCTGTGGAGCATGCAATAACAGATGAGTTGGTGTTTTGTGAAGTTGCCTTGAGAGATAACTGCTCATCTGTGTGTATTCCCTATGCGGATACAGCCCTGTCAGAAGTCAGGGATACAAACAGTTGTCCTTACTGTTAATGGTGAAAACATAAGGGTATTGCTGGTCTCATATAGCCTGGATGCGGGGGATGAAAACCACAGTGGTCATAGTCCTGAGTAGCAGTCTGATATTTCAGTGACAGTAAGGTAGGTGGAGATGGATACTGGATGGTATAGTACCGCTAGTGGGGGGTAGGCCCTGCACTAGCATAGGATGTTAGATTGGGAAAGGATCTCGCAGAATTTTGGAAACTTTGGGAGAATAAGATTGAGTTGTGCAGTTCAAAGGTTGAGGAAGTTAGCCCAGAGCTTAGTGAGGCAAAATGAGAGACCTGAGCCCTCTAAAATATGCTTATTGAAAGGTATGAAACTGAACATCATCTTCCCCTCTCAGTGTTGCTAGTGGCAACTAACAACATTAAATTTGATTTCCAGGTAGAACAGTCCATACCTGCTTATGGCAAAGTATTAGAAAATTTAACCCGTTTTTAAAGCTGAATGAAATTGAAAGTGTCAATGTAAAGAGAACACCCCAATATAAGCTCTGTACGTTTGTCCCAGACGCTCTAAGCTCTGTCAACATATGTGGAATTATGCTACTGTGAGACCCCATAAGGGCCAGATGGATGTGCTTACAGAACTGCCACAGTTCAGGAGTTGCCCCCCTTGCCCAATAGATAGCAGGCCTTGTAAATACCCTGGTGTAACCCAGAATAAAATAGTCCAACATCACTCTTGGAAACATGCTCGTAAGAAGCCTTTGAAATATCCCTTGGGAATGTGTGCCAGCTTGGTTGCAAGTAAGTGTAGAATGTACCTCTGGATTTGGGCAGCTGTGCTAACAGAGGTATTTCTAAACTGAAAAAGAATAGAAGAAATAATTCTGGCGAGAAGCATACTGGTCCTGTATTTGACATGTTTAATTTAGTCAGGATATGACCAGTGCAAGGTAGGCAAAGTACGCATGATGGTGGTAGAAATGTCCTCAGAAATGTGACAATGGTTACTCTCATAATGTGGTCATACTACCGGGTCATTGTTGTAAGGGGGGGATATATGACAGATGGATGCTTTGTCCCTGTGCAGACATGCATGTACCATATCGGTAAGTTTTCCCTGTAATAGCTCAATGTTGGAAATTAATAAGACAGTGATGCCTTAATCAGTATATGTAATAGTAGTACTGTAGGAAAATTGCACTGGAGTTTTGAGCTGGAAAATGTACAGAATTATAGAAACTTTGCTGTAAAAATGATGTACAAGTTAGTAAAAAGCAGCCATCAATATATCATTATTTCTGTTTTGTTTTTAAATAGTGTCACTGCCTTCTGTTAGGCTGATGATATGTCAGCTTTTCCTCTTCATGCTGAGCTGAAGGCCATTGGATATTCTTTGCAAATCAAAGCCAGACAATGGCTCCATCTCACATGAGAAAAATGACCTCTGCATTAGTTAAAGAGTCTATCTCGCATGAGCTTTGCATGGTGGTAGCGTCCATTTAATTGGGCAGTAATTTCAGCATTTGCTGGCCCCCAGACCTGCAAGTAAAATGCTTCCTAAAAGAGCTTGCAATGCTTTTTAATTGTGTAGCATTGATTCTAATGCTAAAAATCTATCTATCTAATGTATATACATCTGCTTTCTGTCCTTCCTTTTAGATAAAGTTGAGATTCTTCACTTTTATTTTTTCTTTTCCATCTGACAAGGCAGTACTTTTTAAACTTAATATTTCATCAAGTATAATGCTATTAGAGACTTATTTTCACTTAGTTCACTCATCAGGCAGTGAGATGGCAATAAAAGGGAATGGCTCCTTTGAGACATTAATGCTTTGGAATAAATGATGTGCTAGAACAGAAATTTAATTAATTTACAGAGTATATTGATAGTCCCCTGTTACTGTGCTGTATATTTTTAATCTTCTTTAACATCTGTAGTAAAGTGTTTCAAAACCCCTGCAGTTGAGCAACTAATAGATAATTAAGTAATAAGGGAAGAGCTTTCCAGAGGGAAAGAGATTCTTTTAACGAGTGCTGTCATAATAGGAATAAAGTACTGTTCATATGATTTATTGTGACGAAAATATATAATTATATTATATTTTAAACTAGAAACTGCATCCTTGCTATGTTTGGAGAATCTATCCATATGAACGTTTTGTGCTCTAGGAAATCATCACTGCAAAAAGAGAGTATTTATTATGTTTGCTGTCTTATGTAGTTTCTTGTGGGGAGTGAAGCTTAAAAGGGAAATATAACTAAAATGAACCTGCATATTATTCAAAATAATAGGGGCATTTTAAGCGCCTGAAGCTGTAAATGTTGCTCTTTGGCTGACCATAAACATCCTGATCCAGCTGGAATACAGCACTTGAACGAAGATCAGGCTGTTAAAAGCTACACTAAGGGGGCAGTAATGAGTGCTTCCAACAAGGTGGATTTTTTTCTTCTGACCTGACCAATACTCCTCCTCTTCTAAATTAAATGAGGGAAAGGACGGTATTAGCAGCACATGTATTGCTTCAATCTATCGTGCAAGCCAGAAGAGAAGCAAAGGCAGCTGCTGAATGACCTGTCTGTGACTCCTTGGAATATTTTGAATCCCTCCCTAAATGTACCTGATTTCAATAAAAAAAAAATCCCAAGACCCTGAAGGAGAAAGCTTTCCAAATAGGCATAGTGAAAATAAATAGAGAAAGATTTGTGGAGGCTTAAATGTGTTATGCAAAGAATGTGGTAGATGTGTATGTAAGGTGTGTTTTTTAGGCCCTCTGTCATTGATATGTGTACTATTCAGGGTGATAGATAAATGCATGGATTTAGACTACCTATGTATGAACAAAGTCCTTTTTTCTTATTATACTAAGGGCTGGGCAGCAGTGCTAAATACACTTGGGTTTATTCAGAATATCCGAAACATTTGTTTTCTTCTTGTATGGAGGCAGCTAATCCCTGGAGTTTGAAAGAACTTAAAACCGAACTATGGGGTTATCTTTTTATCCCATAGTTCTCTTTAGGGTCATGGAAGGACATATACTAACGTCCTCCTGTGACGCAAAGCTCAGTATATAGAGAGCTACTGCTCTCTATATACTGAGAGCGCCGCAGCCGGGACGGATCCCAATAATACGGTCGAGATCCAGCTGGCTGATTGACAGCGGGCTCTGCCTATTTAGAGGCTGTGCCAGCCCCCTACCTCATCCATTCCACCAGTCAGTGCTGGAGGATCGGAGACGGGAGGGGGGAATCGCTGCGGGGAGCAGTGCCTGACAGTGACCGCTCTCTGCAGGAGATGATCAGGAAGTGAGCGAGCGATGGTATGTGTTCGCTCACTTCGCGATCTATAGAGTCCACGTGTGACAGTTTCAATGTCACACGTCGGCTCTAATTATGAGGATGAGTGTAAATCCCTCACCTCATAGTTCTTCTTTAAACTATTTGGCTGTTGGCAAATCAGAAAGCCAGTGGAAACTTGGGTCAAATTAGAAATCCTATGATTCCATTTCAGTGAGCAAAGTGTGGTATTGTTATGCTCAAAGAAGGGAAATCGTGACTCGCAGTGCTGTCAACTGTATTGCTGGTAGTGAGTCAGGCATGCACCCAACAAGCGGGAATACAGTGGACCGACATGGACCAGTACTATTATTGTCATTATTTATTATTATCAATCCTTACCCACATTTTATCAGTTTTATAAAAGGCTGATGAAATGTCAGATATATAACATATTGTTTCTCACTTCTAGAAAAATACCATTTTGACATTTGACTGTTTCTCTGCATACCAGTAAGGATCTGCAAATGTGAATAATCCTTTATTTGTTGTTTATAGGACAGCAGCAGCATGCTTTACTGCTTATATCCTCTACCCTAACTTTTTCCTCACCGCTGGTTGCACCTGTGCAATGAGCCCTAATAGATTTGTAAAGCATTTCCTCCCAAGTCTGTACACACATGGGAGAGGTACTTTTACAATTTTATGTGAACCTTTATTGTTGCTTTAACACATCGGTCAACATTAAACAAATTATTCTTATCCTGATGCTAGTACTGAGTTCCTCTACTTCCCTTTGCTTTTCCTAGTTTGCAGTCTTGCAGAATCCTAACTTTTTTTGTTTTTTGTTTTTCAAGCAAAAGCTGATGAAGTTTTAAGAGCAAAGGAGAAGAGTGAAGAAGATGCCCGAAAGCGTAAAGAAGAAGGTAAATACTTCTGTATTCTTTCATCTAAATAAATGTTTTTGATATGACAGAACTATGACTGCGTTCATATACAGTATGCTGTTGCCCATAATTGCGAGACCTCATGGCTTAAAGAAAAGTAAGCTGACTTGTGGTCCAACTAACATTGAAAGTATAACATATTGTTTTTCAAACGTTACTGAGACAGACCCACATGGAATTGTCACATGATTTATTTAAGAAAATGTAATCACTGGCTTCAAACAGGAAGTAGTTTTCTTTTACCGCACATAACGGTGGATTAATTTGTGTGTACACTCTGCTTCTCTTTGCAAATATTTTAATTGCATTTGGTATACTTTTTGTATATATGTAATGTAACATCAAAATGCTCCACTTCCTTTAACAAATGTAATAATCTGTATGTTCTGTTTCAAACTATTAATTGACAGAGGAAGAATGATAAGACTTATTGAGTGGAATGTAGCCATTCTTCAATGTCTTTGTAGGTCTGTCTACTTCTAAGCATTTATTTATCTCTGCTTTGAGTTATTATTCATAGTAAAAAAGCAAATGCCTGTAATCATCTTTAGAGGTTTAGGATATTGAAGTTTAAACATTCTTTTCATTGATCATTTAGAAAAAAATAACTATTTTCAGTGTAATGAAGAGATTTAAATAATGTATGCAAAACGGTTCTCACTTCAAACTAAGCTGGGCACTCATTTCATCTAAAGAATGTCTTTTTTTCTCTTATGTTAATTTGCTAATTATGTTAGCCAGGTATCCAGCTTAATGCATGATAAAGAAATGAATTGCAGATTTAATGATGATTAATAGAGTTAAGACTGCAATGCAGTTTTCTTTTTGTTGGATTAGTATAACATGTGGTTGCTCAGTGGTTCTGCTCATTGTAGAGGTATCAAAATTTTGCCTCTGTGTACAAATATCTGGTTCTTGTCACCCCTGGTACTGTGGTCGCAGGACATTTTAACAAGCCAGGGCACCGTACCTAAAAAGCACCCAAGTTGCAACTGTCATTGCGCCAAGAAAGGTGATCTGGAACTTTTGTATGTTATTGCATTGTGGTATTGGAGCCAGATTCTGATCCCCCACCATTATGAGCATTGCACCTTATGTACAGTAATGTGTAGTATCCCTATGCTCATAAGCCAGTACTTCATTTTTGTATTACAAAAGTAGATTTTTTTTAATTCTTTTTTTTTAAGCATGTTTAAAACGCAAGTTTATAAAGTGCTTTACAGCAAGCATGCAAATGTCAAATACAATGCAACATAACAATAACATATAGTGAAAAACAATATTAAAAAACATCATTTAGTGATTCCTTTTAAAAGCATCAAGCGCATCAGTTTCTCCAGTTCTCTGGAATTACAAAGCTTAGGATCATAATAACTATAGGCAAACAACCTGCAGATCAGCTACAGCTTTTTTGGAGTTAATGAAAAATAGCATTGTACTTGCTGATTGTGCAGACCAAAGGGCACATATAAGAACTCGATTTTAAAGTGTCTACAGGAGAGCTTTTGCAACCGATCAAGTAAAATCTTGTGCTATCTAAATAATTCTAATATGAAAAAGATAAAATTTACTTTAATCCCATAAACTCCCAGATAAAGACTTTCAAAAGTGCTTTTTCTGTGCTATGATAGACTTTAAAATCAGGCTGATTTTGTGTTAGATTATTGTTATATAATAAAAACTAGTTTTTCAATAAACTTATCAGCAAATTACTAAATCAGCAAATTACTAAACTCATGAAAGCTGAGAATATTCTTCGAGCAGAGACTTAGCAATAGGAATTATAACTCCATCGTGTAATTAACTTTTCAAAAATCAAAAGTTTATAACCTGTTTTTAAAAAAATCTTTAAATGGTTAATACAACAGCTCATAGCAATAACACATTTACAAGTAATTATGGTAAATGGCAAAAAAAACCCACAAACTACTTTTTACAACACCGCATGAAATTAAACTTAACAATACTATGCTAGCAATTGCTCACCATTCTGTCAATGAAAAATACTGAAATACGTTCACATGGTTTTGTTTCTGTACAATTTTGTAGGATGGATACATAAATAGTAATAATAGGGATGGATTATTTTAGCTTCAGGGCTGCTCCAGTGCTTTATACATAAGCACGTTTTGCCATCTGATTTCTCTCTGACGGGGAGAATCAGAGCACATATTGACTGCTTGTCTTGCCCATCAGCAGAGATCATGTCTCCTATGGCCTCCTAAGGCCTAGGCTTTTGTCTATGTGACCACAATTGGAGATAGCCAGGAGTAGCAGTTTCTCCACTAAGGTTAGGTATTTTATACCTTTTGTTATTTTTACTATTACTACTTCATCCTGTTTATTATTATACAGCACATATATTATACAGCACCAACAGTTTGCACAGTACTTAACAATATAAGGGAAGACATTACAGTTACAAAACAATTTGAGACAAGATGGTTAGGAGCGTTTTGCTCATGAGAGTTTACAGTTAACATTTGATTTTGGGGTTGCTTTTAGTGGCGCAGCTATTGGCGTAAGCATCCATCTGGGGAAGTATACAATGCAGTAAAAGTGATTACAGCAGTGACTATAGACTAGTGATTCAGATAATGTTATGAAGTTTAGGAGGTTTTGTATAGGTTTTTTTTCCTGATTATGCAGAGTTAAACCAAAGTTGTGCTTCACTGTTTATGGACAAATCTATTTAAAAATGGACACATTGCTCATTTTTCTAAACTAATGCATATCAGTTGATCCAATCCAGTCTACTACTGATGGGAATCCTTCAATGGGAAGTCCACCCATAACTAATATATGACCTTTTATCCATTGCAGTTTTCAGCAGTAAAAAACAAATATCTACTTTGGAGGATGCAGGTGTTAGTGCTCATGGACAGCTTAGTATGCAGCTTAGTAGCAGCTTATGTATGTGCAACTCAAACAGTGAGTTATTTTTGCTGCAGTTTTGGCACTTGGTCCCTATGCATTACTCTTTAGGGCTTGTTTACGTCAGAACCCATGTGTTAATGTGTGTTGCATTGACATATGCTTCCTTTTTTAAAGATTTATTTGAATTGACATGAATGGAAACTGCATTCCAACACACCCTGGTTGAAGCATGCTGGACCTTTTTGCTCTAATACAATGTATTATGTGGAGCAGACTCTGTTAAAAACCATGGATTTTTCTGATGTCTGTGAATGTTTTTTGCACTACACAATGCATTCCATTAATGCATCTGGTGGTAAAGAGCCACTAGGCTTGCCAAGGTGATCAGACTTCCCATAAATGTGCTGTTGTTCTGTTGACAATTAAAAGGCAAGAGGCTGACTGGCTTCAAGTTAAAGGGGAGCAGGCCATAGGTTCTGTTACTTTTGATCTTGGGGTGAGGGGGGTGTGTATAAAAGTGCTGGGGTATTTTCCTGACACTCATTAGAACTAAATAAGCTGTGAAATGTCATTAACATTACAAAACAAATTCAGATGAATATGGCTAACTACTGCTAGTTCTACATCAAGTAAGTAATGAAAATAGTTTCTTATAGATTAAAAGAGTACTTTCTTAAAGTGATATTTAACACTAATTTCAATTTCAACAGCCTACCCCAAGACCTTTGGTCTGTCTGTAGCTCCTTCTCTTTTTGGATCCCAGTGTTTTACCTGGTTGTCCTGACTGCTGGTCCTTTTTCTGGTTTTAGGGTCCTCGGCTTGTAGGGTCACATAGAGTACTTATGGAGCCACCCTGTATTGCACACTCACAGGGAGGACTACAAAGGCTGGCATGCGGATGCTGCCTGCATAGACATGCACAGGTGGCTGGAGATTGAAGGTGGCTCCATTTGTAAATCTGGGGGCACGCATGCTTGCTGACACTAGGCTGCTGGGACATGTATTTCCGAGGAGGTGATCATGTGACTCGTGATTAGGCTATGAGCACCCCACCTCCCACAGAAAGTTTGGGAAAGCGGAGCAGACATTGCATGTACCAGGATTGGAGTGTACGTATTTCTGCACCTTTTTAAACTGTTCAGCTGGTGCTACATTTATTTACAGCAATGATTTCCTGTACAAACAATTAGGGCTTTAATATTATAAATACTTGGTTATTTTTTTTATCAGGTTCCCTGTCTCATTTTCCACATGAATAAATGCTTACATATGATTGGTATTCTGTGTTGCTGATTTTTCTTTAGATTTCCTTTCTCTAGGTTTTTACTTTTCAGTGTTTCCTTTTTATAAAAGTGTTATCACTTACCGGTTGCACGAATGCTGTCATTTCTTGTTGATGTAGAAAGTCTCAACTTCTTGACCTCTTAGCAGATTATTTGATTGTAAACCTTTTTATTTTTTTGCATTTTTATTTTTATTGCATTGTAAAATGATTTGCAACTGTCACGTTACTGAAATGCCTTAGAGCCTTTTGTTATGGGCAATTTTTATTATTTTAAATATTACATATTATCGTCCAGAATCAGTTAATTCAATTTACTGAAATACAAGATCTTAAACATAACATACATTTAATACACTATAACATCTAATTTTTTAACAGAGCATTTTTCTTGATTTTACAATTTTCTATGACCAATTGCTTGCAATTAATAATTTATGATTTTTCTAAACTGTGTAGGATAAAAATAGTGTTCTGATCACCCTTGTTTTTTTTAAAATAAATTCTTTATTTATACAACAGCATACATGAGATACAGTCAGACGTATGAAAGTAAGAGGATAAATTGTTACAAACAAGCAGCTAAATGGCAATTGTCAGGGCCACCGCCCTCATGGGGGTACTGACATCAAACATATGACTATTAGGTCTATCTCCAACATGGAGACGAGAGCCTATGAATCCGTCTTCGGTGGACCTCCCTGCCGCTGAGCCATATAAACAAAGAGACGTCATTGCGGTTTGTAATCGTATATGCACATATCCAAATTCAAGTGAGGAGATCGGTGAGGCCCACTGTGCCTGTCACCAGTTTTCGAGG